CCTCTGCTAGGTCCTCCTTCCCTCCACATTCGCGCACTGGGTCTCAGCTCTTGGAGCTAAGACACTGCGTTGAACCACTGGACAACGGAGAACAGTGCCTCTGCCCCTGTCCCACTCTCTGCTCAGTCTTTCCCTCTCCACAGCATGTGTAGTTTTATTTGCCTGTTTAATAAACATATCTTCCATCATGGAGACAGGAAACACACTGCGGAGAGCAGAGGCCATGTTTCTGGCTCACCCAGTGTCGTGTGTGTACAATATCAGGCATATATTAGGTCTTTAAACCACGGTGCCTGAATTGACTTATGCAAGGGTCCCAAAGTCAGCCCTCACTCCAGCAAACTAAAATCAACACCGGGGGAATGATTAAAGGATGTGGTAGGCACTCCCTGTGCCAATTAGTGCAGACACTCCAAGGAGCGGTCGCTGTGAGTCGATCCGACTTGATGGCAGTGAGTTACTACTACAGCAGAACAGGGAACACTGGCCAAGTACAGGGGGCAGGATGGCACGCTAATCCTGGGTATTCACCAGCACTGTGCCCACTCCAATCAAACACCAAACAGCACAGACTAGCTATCTCAGGGCATCACGACAGGGCTGACCTGATCCACTGTCTGGCAGACATCCTTCCTGAAAACGTGGCAAGCTTTCATCTGAACCCACTGCCCCACCTCCCAAATCAGATTCTCAGGTCGGGGACCTACCGCGTAGGCTGAGATTTGTGTTGTTGTTGTTGTGATCTGGATGAAAGTTTACAGAGCAAATTCGTTTTCCACACAGTTCATACCCATTTTGTTTTATGACATTGACTGCAATCCCCCACAATGTAGCAGCTCTCTTCCCACTTCCTTCCTGAAGTTACCTGTTCCCTGGGTCCTTCCCTCCCATGCACTCCCTCCGCCACCACCCCTGCCCAGCTACCAGCTATCTCCTTGTGCAAACACTACCCTTAAGCTGAGATTTTTAAGTGCCAGAAGCAGAGTATTAAAAGGCTAACACGGAACACTGATTCGGAAGCACTGGCTATACGCCTCCGTATATAAAGTGGCTAGAAGAAAATTTCAGTGGTCAGTATTGCGCCTAGAGGAATTCTGAATTCCGAAATCTGTCTGTGTCAACAGCAGACAACGATTTCTCCAGCCCAGTATCATCACAGTTCGGTTTCCTTAGGTTGGTAGATGACTTTGTTCATCTTTTATTGTAAAACAGACCATGTACACAAAAGAAAGGAGTCCTGGTACAACCAGTTAAGCACTCTGCTGCTAACGGAAAGATGAGCGGTTCAAACCCATCCAGTAAGCAGCTCCATGGGAAGAAGACCTGGACCCGCTCCTGGAGGGATCACAACAGGACAGCCCCTGGGGCAGCTCTCTGCCACGCGGCGTGGCCACGAGTCGCCATCCACTTGACAGCACTGCCACCACCCCACCTCACACAAAACAATATACTAAATATACACTCCGTCCAAGAATATCAAAGAAAGGAACACTTGAGGACCTGCCACCAGGCTAAGAAACAGCCGTCACTGTAGAAGCTTTCTGTGTGCCCTTTCTTCATTATGCTCTTGCCCTTCCCCAAAACAAGGACCATTCGCCAGAATGCACAGCTAATTATTCCCTTCCTTTTTTTTACCATAGTTTTACCAACTCTGAAGGTACCCATCACAAAAAAAAAGCCTATTGTTCAGTTTTGCAGGTTAAACTTTCCATAAATGGCGTCAGACTGTGCATTTGTTCTCTGACCTGCTTCTCTTGCTCACCATGATACTCCTGAGCCTCCCCCCCACTGAAAGAACCATCATTCACCCCTTTTTACTGTGCAATAGTGTTCCAGTGCAGGACCAGACCACAGTTTATTACATAAACTCTTTCTTTCTTCAGAAACAAACCCACTCACTGCACAGTACCGCAGCCTGTCTGCAAACACGGTGAGGCTACGTGAAGTGCCAGTGGTCATCCGTACCAACATCCACGTGGGAGACCAAGTAAAACAACTATAGATGGTTCATCTCCTTCTTCGTAACAAGCAGGAGGATCTCACTAAGGAATGGAGCTTTGAGCCCTTGCTCAGCTGGCAACGTCCGCACTGGATGAACTCAGGCAGGTGAATCCCTGAGGTAAAACCCCCTCGCAACCCTAGTCTCCCTGGGGCTTGTGATTATAAAGCAGGAGAAGGAAGGGGAGGAAAAGGCAACTCTGGCTTGCCGGACTCTCCCTCACAACCACGTCAGAGCACCTGTGCCGCTCACAGGGCGTGACACCCACGTCCAAGGAAAACCCACCTTGCAGACGGTGAAGCTAAATATTTTGTCTGAGAGCAGCAGGCAGAAGCCCATCACCATTCTTGCTGCCCCCAGAAAGCACGGACAGCAGAGGCCTGTCCTTGAGATCTGGAAAGTCCAACTCCATAGCCTCCTGACTATAATTCTTTTTTTTTTTTAATTAGGATTTGGGTGAAGATTTACAGAGTAAATTCACTTTTCATACAGCAGTTCACACATACTCTGTCTCATGTCATCGACCAAAATTTACAATGCAGCAGCTCCCCTCCCACTTCCTCCCCATAGTTACCTCCTCCCAGTGTCCATCCCTTCATACTCTTCGAGAGGCCCATTGTCTGCCAACCCTGTATATGATCTTGGATACACTCTCCATTTAGACATACATAATTGTTTAGCTTGTTCACCCATCTATCCGTCCCTATACCCATGTTTGCTTTCATTGACAACTCAGTATTGTATTTACAAAGGGGTTCATATTTGTTGTTTGTACTGCCCATGTAACTCTCTCTGTCTTTCTCATCCTCAATGCTGCCATATTGGTCACTCACATTTGGTACCGACTATAATTCTTAATGGGAACACATTGCTGATGCCGCACTTTCCAGGGCAGGGAGCAGGAGGAGCTATCAACTGTCTCCACCAAACACAAAGAAAAACGAGCATCCCCTCCCATAGCCCTCCCAGCCTGATTACTCAGATGGACATACTTCATCCTGGTAATCCTTAAAATAATCCTGGGAGGTGGGTGGTACCATCTCCATTTCACACCTGATATAGCTAAGGCTCCAAAAGACTCAGTGGCTTGTCCACCATCGCACCACAGTAACAGGCCAAGATTCCACCCACGTCTCTGACTCCAAAGTCTCACACTCTGATACACTACACTGAAAGGTCGGGGGTTCAAACCCACCCAGTGGCTCTGTGATGGAAAGACCTAGAGATCTGCTCCTGTAAAGATTACAGCCTAGACAACTCGATGGGGCAGCTCTATGGTTACATGGGGTTGCTGCAAATTGGGATCAGCTCAACAGCGTCTGACACCACCACCCCCAACTCTGCCACTGCTTACAGCAGTGTGTGCGCACACTTGACAAATGCAACAGCTAAGAGGGGAAGGGACTTTACGCAGAAGATACTGCCTTTGGATGATATTTTCAAATGTGTTTCCTGCTGAGCAGCAGTAGGCTACGTGTGAACGATGAATACTCGGCTCACAGGGGCCTGTGGGAACTCGGTGGTCAGGTGCAGTAAAGTACTGCAGCAGCTGGGCCTACTGGGGAGGCCACGCAGCTTGATCTGTCCGGAAGCTTACTCTGCCCACTAGCAATTGACTCGCACAATCCACCGCAGAGTAAAGGCAAAATTCATTCAATTCTGTACTGAAGTCTGGCTGCTGTGTTAACAGCTGTCAGTCCTCAGGCCAAACTACAACCAAGAAGGTTATCAGAGTCTATGCATTTCAAGGCCAGAGAGCGGCAGGTCAAGGATTTAAGTCTAAACTTAAGACCTGAACTCCTCTTTCCAAACTCAAATTAAGGGAGTCAGTTTTGTTTGATACAAACTTTCCAAGTCAGCTGGAAAACCAACACAGCTGTGACCAGTGCCAAAGTAAAGCAGCAGGCATCACCTCAGAGAGGGAAGTGCTCCAGTCTCCCTCCCCCCAGCTCTTTGCCACTAAGGAGACCCTGTTTTCTCTAGTTCTAAACACCTGTTAGTCCTCTAAGGAGCCCTTGTGGCACAGGGTTAAGCACTAGTGCTAACTGAAGGGTCGGCAGGAGAAAGGTGAGGTAATCTACTTCTGTAAAAATTTACACCCTGGGAAACCCTGGGGAGTTTCTCCCTGTTCTACAGAGTTGCTGTAAGACAGAATCGATTCAATGGCAGTGGGTTTATTCTCCCTGTGGTGACACAAGATTTGCCAATGATATTGTAGATCTTTACACTATGAGATCCAACTACTGATCCCATCTTACAAGTCATCTGTTGTTGTTGTTGTTGTTATGTGCCATTGAGTCAGACATGACCCATAGCGACCCCTCCTTGGGTTTCCGAGGCAGTATCACTACAGAAGTAGATTTCTCCAACTTCCTTCCGAGGAGTGGCTGGTGGGTTTGTACCGCCGGCCTTCTGGTTAGCAGTCAAGTGCCTTTAGGCACTATGCTACCAGAGCTCCTTACAAGTCATCTAGAGTCATGGAAAAACACTCTTGGTCTTCAGGGTGTGAGGTGACACCTCTGCAGAGACTTGGAGAAAACAGAATAGGAAAATGGCACGTCTGCTTCTAACGACACTATACAGACAAAGATCCAAACCCACGCCTTTCCTCGCACCCAAAACTGCCAGTCATCGCCACCTCACAAACCCTGAGAACAACCAAATCCAGGGGGGCTGAGGGCTGTCCTGAGAGAGAGCTCTCAAGAGGCTGCGGGTACTGGCTGAGGTCATAGACCCTTATTCACAGCGCTCTCCCTCACAGTTTCTGTATCCCAATAACCAACTCAACAGACCCCAGCCTCACCAAGGGACCTCTGACCCTTCCCAAAATCCTGACTTTTATACTCCCTTTGGAGCCTCCTTATAATATCAAGGCAATTATGTGATCCCTGGAAATTTCTGAGCATATTCTAACATAAACTGCCCCTCACCTCATCCCCACATGTTTTCAACAGCTCTTAGCTTTTTCTCAGCTCCAGCTCGTCAACAAGGGGTGTCTTACCGGGATCTCCCGCCAAAGCAGTTGGTGCTAGGGGGCTGGTGCCGGTTCTCCACAGCTACAGCTGTCCCACTGGATTCTCTTGAAGGTGGCTGTGACCCTGAAAGGGAATCAGGCACAGGGGAAGACAGAAAGTTGAGAGGCTCAAGCTGTTCGAGGCTCAGCCGTGAGGAGAACTCCACTGTCCATTCAGGTCACGCACTACGGTGGGGTGTGAGCGGCCACCAGCACGACAAGCAGCAGGGACAAGGACCTGTGCCACCACAGAGTGGGGCTCATCCCATGGACACAGCTGCTCTCTTCCCCGAGACGTTCGAGAACATCTGTGGCAATTATAAGCATTTTGCCTTGTACATTAAATGAACTTCAGCCTCAGGAATGTGAACTAGAAAACAGATGTGAAGCGGGCAAAGTGGGGGCAAGGAATGGGAGCATTTCTCCAAGGTGCAACCAGAGAGCTTTTAAAAAGCCAGATCAGATCATGCTATTTTCCTACTACAATTCCTTCAACAGTTCTCTCTTCTTAGGATGAGGTTCAAAATCCTCACCAAGGCCTACCATGACCTGAGTGATCTGAGCTGACCAGTCTCTCTGACCCCACCCCGTCACTCTCCTTACTCACCACACCCCATTTACCCAGTGACTCTGTTCCCGCCAAGCCCACACTCGTCCCACCTCAGAGCCTTTGCACATGTGGCCCTGTCCCATTCACCTGTTGTAACACCACCTTATACTCCATGTTCCTAGGTATGAGAACTTTCCATGAGGTTTCTCACAGACACCTTCTCAATCCCCTCACTTTAGATGAGATCCCCCTAAAGGGAGAGATCACATACCACCCCGTATTTTCCCTTTACAGTTTTTATCACAATCACAATTATATAATTATTTGTGTGCTAACTTGTTTGATATCTATCCCCACTCCCTGAGTAGATGATAAGTGCTAGTAAGTGAGGACCTTGGATTTTGGCCATTGCTATCTGCATAGCACCCAGGCCAGGGCCTACTACATATCAAGTATTCAATTGTAATTGTGTGTATGTGTGTGTGGACAGACGAATCAGTAAATGATGCCTGTTTTTCTCTGACCAAAAGCACCCCAACAGTGTCTCATCACTCCAGTTGAGGTGTTCTTCTCAGCAGTCAAGACTTAGTCAACCCAAGAGCCTACCTGACCACAACTGCCCTGTGTCAGAACTCAACCCTCACCCCCTTGAAGCTACAGAAAGCCTGTTTGGGGAAAGTGCCATAGTTACATCATATGTAACAAAACATTCAGTGAGAAAATTATGGAGAAACCCAACCCATTTCAGAGCTCAGACTTCATGAAATAATTTCCTGTTAGATCCAAAGGTGACTAATTTCAGACGAGATCAAAAGAAACAAACTGCCGGCATTCAGGACAGAGTGGAGACACCCTGCCAATGTCCCTGCTCCTGCGTGAATTCTGCTCGTGTGCAGCTATACTGCAGAAGGACACACGGCTCCCTTTCCCAATCAGGACCATCCTAGAAAAGACACCCTCAAAACTCGCAGAAATTTAACTATACTGGGAAAAAGAAAAATGGGTCAAAGCGACATTTTATAAAGAAGTTTTCTTTTCCAAAGTTCATGTGGGATGAAAAGGTGTTTTTCTCTGCTCTCAAACCAAACAAGAGCACACTTACAAAGACTTGATGTTTCATTTTGGTTCTTTATCAGAAGGCAGTGCTTACAAAACCACGTCACGATTTTGAACCAGGATGCAAACAAGAGTCGGAGCTAGCTATATGTGCTAGGACAGCCTGAGCAGCACACAAGCCAAGTTATGCCTGCTACACAACCAAGCTCTCACCAATTCCTCCTTGCTCCCCAGCCCAGCCCTGCCACGCCTCGTCCCAGCACAGCCCTGGGGAGCAGGGCGACACTCACCGTCTGTCACGGCACTGCCATTAGGCACACTTCCCAGATCAACAGTCGGCCCGTCCAGGAAAATTGTCAGCTCTCCGCCTGAGACAACACTGCCTTTGTTCTCTGTCTGCAGGTTCAGGGTCAGCTGCGTGTTCTCCACTGTTGGACACAAAAGGCCACGTGAATGGACAAAGGCAAATGCACCTCAAGCTAAGATTCTGTGAGTGAAATAAGTCAGACACCAAAGGGCACATGTTGTATGATTCCACTTACATGAAATATCTACAGTCGACACACGTACAGAGACCACCATCTACTCATGGTCACTGGGGGTGGAGAGTGGAGGGCAAAGGAAAGGTGTTGCTTAAGGGGCACTGTTAAGAATTTCTGCTAAGATGAATGATTAGGTATGTCTTTGCAGGGGGAACATGCCCAAGACCACGTATAGGGCTGGCAAACAATGTTCCTACAAGTGTATTGCTATGCTCTGTAAGAATATCTATATCGTAGAGCTGACAAGGGACAAGGCTGTAGTCACTTCTTGGCCACAGACATCTACCCAGAGGGAGCAAGTAGTTGGACCTGTGGGCTTGGGACCATGGTCACAGGGGACATCAAGCTCAACTAGCACAACATACTTCACAAAAGCATTGTTCCACTTCCTACTTTGATGAGTAGTGACTGGCATCTTAAAAGCTTGCAAGTGGCCACCTAGATGCAACGATGGGTCTCTCCTCGTCCAGAGCAAATAAGAATGAAGAAAACCAAAGCATGGAAACACTTAGTCCTAGCAACCAGTACACCATCCAATCTGCAGCCTATATGACTATGAGACCAGAAGAACTTGACGGTACCCAGCTACCACTGTCAACCACTCAGAGGGGGATCTATGTAGGAGATCCTGGATAGAGTAGAAGAACAATATGGAACAAAACTCAAAATCATAAAACTTGTAAAAAAAAAAAAAGGGGGGGGGGACCAGGTTTGCCGGTCTGATAGAGCTTGATGGAACCACTGAGACTATGGTCCCTAGCTGCCCTTTAGGTCTAGAATTGAATCCATTCCTGTGGCTTCCAGCCAAACAAAAGACAGGCATATGAGCTGAACATTTACACTAGGTAGATATTTTCATGGGAGAATAGAAAGGGTGTGTATGCACAGGGAGACAGCTCAGGGGCAAGAGTGCATGGGAGGGAAGGACACAGGGAAGAAGTGGCTATGGGGAGGAAGTGGGAGGAGAGCTGCTGCACTGTGGGAGATTATAGTCAATATCATGAGACAAAGTGTATGTGAATTGCTATATGGAAGACGAATTTGCTCGGTAAACTTTCATCCAAATCACAGTAAAATTAAAAAAAAAAAAATTCTTCTAAGAGTAGCTGAGGGGTTTGAACCACCAACCTTCTGGATAGCAGTCAAATGCCTTAGGCATTGTGCCTAAGAGCTCCCTCTCGTAAAGATTACAGCCTAGGAAACCCTATGGGGCAGTTCCATTCTGTCACATGGAGTAGCTATGAGGTGGAATTGATTCCAAAGCACAAAACAACACCAAAACCAATAGATTTTTTTTTAATTTTTAGTACTGCCTCAGAAACTCAAAGGGGGTTGTTGTGAGTTGGAATTGACTTGATGCCAGTGAGTTTGGGTTTTTTGTATTTTTAATATTTTTCATATTAATCCTATTAATGCTTCTCAAACTTTGATGTGCATAACAATTGCCTGGGAACATTGTTCAAATGCAGAATCTGAGTACTAGGTCTAGGATGGATGAAGACGTTGACTCTGCATTTCTAGCAATCTCTCAGGTAATGACCATGTTGCTCATTCAAGCACCACACCGTGTGTAGCAAGGCTCAGTCTAGAATATGTCTCTCAAGTAGCCAAGATACATTTTCACTGAAGATAAATACTCATTTCTAGTTCCCTGTCAAAGGGGCAAGGAGGCCGCATCTTCTGACCTCCTCCAATCCCACAAGAGGAAGACAGAATCACCATCAATAGCCCAAGGTCTATTCCTGTGAGGCCAGACATGCTGCCTCCCTCCGGGCCTTTCATCAACCCTGACACCAACCGTTCCTCCCGCAGCACCCACCACCTCTCTGCTGGGTTCAATAATTAGCTGCAGTGGCCACCAGAACTCACAGATCATGGGAGCATGACATTAGGGAAGCAACAGGGTACAATTAGAGTTCAGGAACACACTCAGTCTCTCAGCCCACTGTCCCTCAGCCAACAGTCTCTCTCCATCTCTCTCTCAGCAGTGCATGTCTCTCAGTGTCTCTCTCAGCAGCGTGTGTCTCTCATGTCTCTCAGGAACGTGTTCCTCTCAGCACCATATCTTTCTCAGCCAGCAGTCAGAGATACTTCTTCTGCCTCTAGAAGGGCTCCCTTTGATCCTGGCAGAGTGGTCAAACTAACCACTCCCAACATCAGAATTCTATACACCTGAGATTGAGCGAACTTCACAAAAGATTGCGTCGTCTGGGTCAACAGAAATACCCCAGGTGGATAACGTTAGCAATCAGGAGCTACTGAGTTGCTCACAACAAATTCCACCATGGAGTTTACGAAGACTTATGGCTAGAAAAGCCACACTACGTAATTTACTACACTGCATTCCCCAAAAAAAAATTCTGCTAAGAATGATGAAAAAAATCTGTAAATAGGTAATTAACATGGTGAATTAATGTCACTGAGTTGTACCTAAGGAGCTCTGGTGGCAAAGTGCCTAAGGCATTTGACTGCTAACCATAAGGTTAGCAGTTCAAACCTACCAGCCACTCCGCAGAAGGAAGACTGGGCAATCTACTTCCATAAAGATTTACCACCTCAGAAACCCAACAGTGGTCACTATGAGCCAGAATTGTCTCGATGGCAGTGGGTTTGATCTGTCCTGGTTTGGAACTGTACATATAAAATGGGTCGAAATGGCTAATACTTGTTGTTCTAGTTGGTGCCGCTCTTGACAGGAATATACCACAAATGGGATGGCCTTAACAAACAGGAGTTTATTCTTACAATTTGGAGGCTTTAAGTCCAAGTTCAAAGTGCCAGGCTCTAGGGGCTG